AAGCTGAGAAAGCTGCTGCTGAGGCTGCAAAGAAGGCCCCTTCGACAAGGGAAGCTTAAAAACATCTGATTTGTTTTTAATGCTTTTGAATTTTACTGATTGCAGTTTTCGTGGGGTTTATGGAGAGACTATTTTCTGATTAAGGATCTTTTGATCATTATATATGATTCATGACAACAAGAAGGATGATTTTAGTGGTTTGCCAAAGGAGAGATTATTTTCTGCTAAGGATCTCTTCAATTCACATTCATGACTGTATGCTTTGGTTGGATATTGTTTTAGCTATAAAATTTAGTGAAAGAATTCATGATTTTTATTTTTATATATGAAATGATCTGTTACCACCAGGAGTATTGTTAATTTTGATATGATGAGAAAATAGTAAAATAGTGATTGATAGTTGTAGCTATATGAGTGGCTCCATAGTAAAATTTATAAAGAAAATGTGTTTGTTATTAACTGAAAACTAGTGCGTGGCCCGTGCGATGCACGGCAAAATAATATTATGATTGTGTTATAAATAACATTAATCAAGATCCATCATTTTCAAATTAAATTGTATTTGGTCACAGTCCGACCAGGTGGATCATGAATCGGTTTATAACCAGTCTAGTTCGCTTGAATAAAATATTTGCTATCGAATCCGTCAACACCAGTTGGTTGAACTGGTATGATCGATACGATTTTCTAAATAAATTTTGCTACATTTAAAATCATTTTAAATAAAATTACATATTTAAATAAAATAGAGATTTATAAATTGTTTATCAATTAGTTTAAACAATTGAAATTTTAAATTGTTTAGATATATAAGTAACACATTTTATTTAAATTTATTACAAAAAGTACTATATATGTGTATATATAATAAAATATTTATAAATTAAAAATATGAAAACCACAAATGAAATAATAAAATAACTTGATCGTTTTGATGATGGTCTGATTCTGAAACCTTATATTTACTGTACATTAATAAAAATTATAATAAAATATTATTTTATTCACATAAATATAAATAAAATGATATAAATATTTATAAATTATTAAACATGCTTCATAAAGTATTGTTAATACGATTATTTGAAGTTTGAATTACATCACATTCACGTAATAAAGTATTTTCAATATTAAAATTTAAATTTAGGTTCAATAGTCGATTTGGTCTGGTCAAACTGATACATAAATTTGTCACATAGGACCAACCAAGTTGTGTGAATTTTTGTTTGACTATTTTAAATACCACCTAAAAGTAATTTAATCAACCTGGACAGTACCCTAATTCAATTACCCGATTGATCTAAAGAAATTTTCTTATTTTCTTTAAAATATTTAATTTTATGAAATAAAAATATTTTATGATTCATATAATAAATGTCTACACCAAATGATAGTATATTAAGATTATAAATTATATATCTAAAGACGAATTAATTAATTTTACTTTATGCATATTAATAAAAAATAAACATAGATTTCAAAAAATTAAGATTAATTTAATTAATTAACAATTTAAATAATATTTTTAGCATTCAATATTTTTTTGAAAGGCACAAATATAGAGACCGATATTCTAAAACTTTTGTTATACTTTGAATTGAGATTTTATAAACATAGAGACCGCGATTTTAACGTTGTTCATTGGTTCTAAGAAAAAAAAAATAAAAATAAAAACATGAACACTTAATAGATCTTAGCCTAATTTTTTAAAATAATAAAATGAACTAAACCTGAAATTTAAGGTGGCATTTAATGATGTATGATTTTTAAAGAAAAAAATAAGTAAAACTTACTATTTATGGACTGCATTAAATTCTGACCTATTTTTTTTGCTCATATTTTTTGTAAATAGATTGTCTATATATATATATATATA